GGAATGAGCAGCGGAGCTGCAGCACATGCACGAAACAAGAATGTGTGTCCAATAAAGTGCGTACATGGAGCCCTGGAGCCTGGGGCTGCTGCCCCAGCGTTACACAGGAAAATTAATAAGAGTCTCAGGAATGCACAACAGACATATGGAGAGGTTTATGGACCACACAACACACATTAAATGCAGGATGGACCAAGCCAAGACATTTGAATCTTTCGCTCTTTCTTTTAAACGTAGCCGTATGTGTAGAATTTTCAGCAGAAAAAAATAAAATGGGATTTATTCAGAATTTCAAGAAGCTTATCAACCTTATGAAGATATATGCTTGTAATTTTATTTTAGGAGGTGAGCAAATAAAAATCTGGAGAAAATAAAAAAGAATGGGCATATTTTTGTATCAGGAAGATTCTGTATCCATTGATGAAAACTCAGTCTGACGGGGCTAAGACAACTGTCTGGGGATCTGGTGGGGGAGGGAATGGTACAAATGAGTTTAAGCATCAAAAGATCAGGGACCAACATTATCTCTATTTCTCTATTTAAAAGAAGAAGAAGGGGGCAGAAGACAGAGGAGGAAGAAAAGGAGAAAATATACATCAATGACAATGAGAGGAGCCCAGGCACCTCCACAACTGAAGATATAATAAACACATTGACTTTTCTGATCGCTTAGTATTATTACCTAATTTAATCTCTGTAACAACTTTATGGAAAGGATACCATTTTAAAGAGAGGACTTCCATTTATAGAGGAGCAAACCAAGGGGCACAGAACAGTAAAGTAATTTGCTCAGGATCACATAACTAGTAAGTCACAGCTGAGGTTTGAACTCAGACTGTCTGGCTCCAGAGTCTTCAATTAGGCCCTTAAAAGAAAGCAGCTTCTTTATTAATAAGATGGCATATAGGAGGTTACCAGATTCGTCCACTGAGACTTTTCAAAGAGATCTGAAACACCACCATTGACACCAATTATCACTTAAGGCAGAGGATGGAAAGTCATGGGATTAGAATCACTGGTATTAGAATAGGTCTACATAATAGAAATCCCTAGTGGCCAACAGAACCCTGTATTGTAAAGCAATATAATTAGATAAATTTGGAGAACACTGGTGTGACCTCATGATCTTAAAAAGACACATATTTTCCCCAATTCTGTCGCTATTAAAATTGGCACAGCACTTCAGCCCACCACCAATTCTCATGCCCAAATAGCCTTCAGTGTAGTTCTCCACTAAAATGAGCCAGAGCTCCTTGGAGACAAGCCAATGCCCTGTCTAGGGAGAGGATGGAAACGAGGACAGGTCTGAAACACTTTGTTGCTGCCATACATCAAGAACGACTCCAAGATCTCAGGAGCCCTGTTACATGGGCAAAGCAGTTAAGGTCGGAGAATTCTTCCCCGCTGAGGTGTGACCATGTGGGCAACCAAACAAGGAGGAGGAGAAGATAATTATTATGGAAACGAGGAGAGTCTGAGAATTGCCTTGTGTTCGTAATGTCACTCAAAGGGAAAGTTAATATAAAACGTACAAAAGTATAGTTTTAATAGAAAAGGATGACTATAAGATGTTATACTTTGCATTGATTTTTAAAACTAGGGAGCATTAATACATAAGGCAATGTAGTTTCTTTTACCGAGCATTGGTTATAGCTGTGTTTATAAAATGTCTGTGTTAAATAGAAAAGAATAACAAAAGGAATTAATTGTTAAGTCAGGTCATCCCAGGACCTTAGGGTCCACGGAAAGACTAGCTGGCCTTGGCAGTCATACAGCCAGGTGGGAGGACGGGCTGCAATGCACTGGCATTAGCGGTCACACACAAGGCGCAAGGAACAAGAGTCAGCAGGGTGTCCGTAACATGATATGCTAGTCACACAGCTTAACGAGGAAAACCAAGTACTCAAATTCAGTCTTTCCTATCCTGGGACAGCGATTTTCCACTAGTGCGCCTCAAGAATTTTTAAAACATACAATACTTGACTCTTTAGCCAAGGGCACTGACCTCTTTTCCTTGGGTTGTCAAATTTAAAAAAAGTGACCATAGCCCATATTAAAAGAGCCATCCAATGTGAACGAATCAAAATTATACCTATGTTTTTGTCAGGTGGCAAAAATGATATTTTTTTGGTGTGCCACAGAATTTTAGTAATTAGTTGATGTGTGCCATGAGATGAAAAGCGTTGAAAATCACTGTCGTAGGAGAGGAAATCTCTGCATGGTCCAAGTAAGTGTGCTGAAATACTTGTATTAATAAGGAATGTGTACATTTCTGATAATGCTAACAACCAGGTCAATGCATCACAATGACAAGGGGTCCTGAGCATGAATCACCCTGAAGCCACCTAGTCCTGTGACCCAAGAATCAACAGGGCACCCACCCACATTTTCTAACCTTAGCTATTGAGAAAAAGAACTCTATCTCCTTTGGATTGGAAAGATCACTGCTTTTGTCTGGAAAGCGCCAAAATGATGTTAAGTCTAGGAAAACACGGAAATAAGTAAAACAACGGAAGATAACAAAAAACAAGAACAGAAACAATGAAGAAATAAATTAGAACCATGATATTTAAATTTAGAATAGGTTCAAGTATAAATGTATTATTCAACTTTATCATTATGTAACTTATTTTGTACACGTTTTGTCTGCTGGTTAAGGAAGATGTTTGAAGTGGTCAAAAGGAATTAGCCATACTAACTTTGTAGTGGAATTTAAGTAGGTTAAGGGAATCTAACCTATCAAATTTATAACCAGTCTTTAAATGCCGAAGAAAAACTGGTTTCCAAAGTCTTGCTTACTAGGTATACCCAGTATACCCTGCCGGCCCCACCCATGTCCCCTGGACACTCACCACTTCCAAACACGCCACTTGTGACTCTTTACCTGTGGCTTCCTCTGACCTCCAGAGCCCAGCCCGCTCTGCGCAGGGCAGAACCGCCACAACCCCCAGCAGCAGGCCTCAGCTGATGACTGACGGGAGTTAGCGGGCGAGCGCCCTCGCTCTCGGAGCGGTTGGAAAGGACAACTCAGAGCCATTTGCACAGTTCTCCTGGAGAACCCACAGTGATAACTTCCTCTGCAAGGCACCCAGGACTGGCTTTGGGCCCTTCTCTGTCTCACTAGCTTACTGGCATTTCCTGGGATCGCCTCCCAAATAAACTGTAGAGACTCATGTCCACATCTCAGGATCTGGACAACCCAAGCTAGGAGAGGAGATGAGTTTAAGAAATCAAGCATTACACAAAGCACAAATATGTATATGGCCTTTCTCCAGGCACAGTATTCCCCAGGACAATTCATACTCTACCCGTAGATGAGCTGGCTAGAGTAGCCTGGCTGGGGTGCGGGGTCGGGGGGAGGTGGGGACTGCCTTGGGTGACCTTCGGTCTCTCCTGTCAGCGTCTCCCTCCTCTGTGCTGTCACCACGCTCTCTGTAGACCCATGAGCTCCCACGGCAGCGCTCATTCTCTGGCTCTCACCGGACAAGGGGTGAGTCCCCTCCCGAGGGGCTGTAATTTCAGAGGGCAATCCTCAAAATAAGGTGGGAGCTGGACCCAGTGACTGGACAAGAAGATAGGAATGGCATGGAACAGGTATCTTCTTACTCAGCTCTCAGGACTCTGAGGTTCTTGGACCTTGAATCGGCTGCCAGGGCCCCATGGGCCACAAGGGACTTGTGGTTATGACTTTTGCAGGCAGTCCCTTAAAAACGGAGTCAATGAAGACCCAGCTCACCACCCCAAAAAACATGCTAGTTAAGAGCTCAGGCCTTGAACAGACTTACCCATCTCTTCTGCCACATTGGGCAGGTTCTATAACGTGCCTGAACCTCAATTCCCCCAGCTATAAAATGGGGGAAATGTAATCTAACTCACTGGGCATCCTTCTTCATGAAGAGAGAACAACACTAACGAGCTGAGCATTGTGGAGTGCTCCGCACCTGCCAGGCACTCTCTATGCATTCTCACTGCACGGTCACACACAGGTAGGTGCAATTAAAATCCTCATTTTATAAGAAATTTCCCCAGTGCCACCCAGCTAATAAGAAGCGGAAATCTGATTCCACTCTTAACTTCAATGTTAAACAAAGGATATGGAAAGTAATTAACAGTGCCCAATGAATACTAGGTGCTTAATAAATGTCACTTCTTTCCTGGCCCCTTACTTCATCCTTCTCTCCTGGGTTGTCCCTGGGGAAGGACTACAGTGAAGAGAAAGACAAGCAGAGATTCATGGGGGCTCCGAAGGAAGAGGCTCAATGCCAAGTTCTTAATAAATACCCTTCAGAGCAAATAGATTCTGGCTTCTCCTTCTGTTAATATCTAAGCCCTTAAGGTTCTTCCAGCTCTATAATTTCCTTCTCTGGAACCTACACAAAATCGCTAAAATGACTTTCAGAAAGCCAGAAAGTCAAGAATACTAAGTAGCTTTAAAGTTTCAGATGAAATGAAGTCACCACTAAAACACATTCACTCAGTTTCATAGAAGAGCATGGATTAGGAGTCCATCTCTCAGCCTGGCTCCAGCGTTTACTAAGCTGCGTGATCATGAGTGAGCAAAGCCACCTGCTTTCTCTGTGCCTCCTTTTTAAAAGTTGGTTAATACAAAGATAATAATCCTTGTCTTGCCTTTTCTTAAAGCTGCTGAGAGAATCACATGAGGAATGTATGTGAAACTACTTCACAAATTATAAAGCACTTACATAAATATGGGCAATTATCAGTATTAATCAAAAGCTTATCAGACTTGCTAAGAAAATTCTTGAACAAGAAAAACAAGAGCCAAAATTAGAGGAGAGCAGCAGGCTGGAATGAAAAGAGCCAGGTGGAAAAGAAAAACTAGCTGTCAGAACCTCATTTTCAGTGTTGGCAGTTAACCTTCAATCAATTTTATAAGGCCAGGAAATAGCCATATTTTTAAGTAAGTGTCAATGGTAGGCTCAGCAACATAAAATTTAATGGTGGGGAAGACACCAGCTTAAAGAAACATAGCTTCTTACCTCTCCTTCTAAGAAGGATATCTTTTCTAAAAGTTGCAATATTAGAAGCTGTTTCTGTTGCACCTTTTTCTTTAATGATTCAATCTAGAAAGAAACAAATTGCAATTGTTAGTCAAAAATACAGAACTGTACAAGTTAATCAGCTGGAAGAGATTGGTTTTCATTGGCCTTTGGTTTCATTGAAACAAAACCCCCACGTGGTTCTTTGTGTTTCCTGTAACAATGTTAACATGAGATGCTCCGTGGAAAGGGGGTTCTGTGCCCACGTAAGCCTGGGACATCAGACATGAATTTGGAGTCACATGTCTTTAGGTTTGTTCAACCTAACCTATATGCACTGATTTTGCGGTGTGACCTTTATTACCATCCCACAGGTGTCCCAGAGAACATGCTTGGAGACATGCAGATACAACTCTACAAAACATAATTATTCAGTTTACATTTATTAGGTTCCCTGCATATCTAACACTTGGCTCTGTTATTCCTGTTAGTACCTTCATATCTGTTCAACCAGGTGTCAAGAATCTGGGTCTAGGGAAAGAGCGACTGTCACTAAAAGTGCTAATGAAATTCAGAAGACTGGAGACTCAGGGGGCCTGAGTAAGCAGGGAAGCTCCCTAAAGCGCAGACTGGAGCTGGGCTTTCTCCTTTGTTTTTTTAATACCTAAGTTATACCTTGGACTACTCTTCATTTTTCGCGTACATATCATGTCTCCATAGACAAATTGTAGATGCCCTAAAACCAGGACCCAGGATACCCTGTATCAGGCCATGTCTCAGATACTAGTGGAAATAGTGTGTGGGTTCATCAAATAACTTATGACTTTGAGGAATGCACTAATTTTCCAACAATCTTGTACATTAAATTTGAGCATGTGCAAAATCTTTTTAAAATCCCTCTCAATGCAAAATGACACAATTCCTATAGAAAGGAATCTACCAATAGCTAGAAAAAGCACAAAAACACAACTGCATTTACACTTTGACTCAGCAATTCCATTCCTAAGAATAGATCCTAAAGACACATTGGCCAAAATATGAAATGACTTGAATGTGAACACAAGATTTTGGTTTTTTTAGAAAATAAAACTCTATCAAAAAGTGGCTGGTTAAATAACCATGGTACTTCTTAACAAGGAATATCTATCTAACTTTCAAGAAAAAATAAAAGATCTCTACAACACTGATATGGTGTATTGTAAGGAGTATATGGTATGTTAGTTTTGGTGTAAAGCGTGTGAGGACATATAAACGCATACACGTTTGCAAAAGGAAACATGCAAAAATAAAAACAAATCTTAATGGTTGAGAAATAGTTATCAATAGTGAGGGGGATAAAATTAGACGGAGGAAACAGAACAAAGACTTTTCTGATAAGACTGTATTACATAGGTTTAATTTTGAAAGTGTGTTTTACAGATTCAAAAAATAAAACTAAATCAAAATGGAAAAAAGTAAGTGAATCCTAAAACTTGAAAACAAACTGAAATGAAGGAACTTAACTGTATATGAAATTGGTAAAAAGAATTCACTCAAATGTTGTTTGAATAAGGTAATTTGACTATACTTTTTAGTGTAATGTATTCTCAAGATAAACAGAGCTAAAAAAAACCTTTCATTCACTAGGAAAATTGTTAGTAATATTATTAGTATTGTTATTTTGAAACTATTTGATATATTGTAGTATTATGTTTGGAACCAAGATTTTTAGTTTAAGAGGAAGAAATACAAGTATGAAATCAAAGAAATAAAGTTTTATTAAATTTGAAAGAAAACTATTAGTATGAACTCATAATCTTTTATTTTCTTTTGTTAAATAGGCATTTCCTAACACTGTCCACTGAAAAAACTTAGAGACAATAATAATAGGCACATAATTTATCTAGATTGTGGTCTCTAAATACCATTTCTCACAAAAAAAAAACAAAAGCAAAAACCCCACACAAAAACAACACAGGACATCCTGAAGGAACGGCCCATTTCAAGGGGCAAGAAATATACTAAACAAACCCAGACACCTTGTTATGCCTGAGAACAAGGACTAAAAGGGTTTCCCTTAGACCGAGGATGGGACAATTTGAGCATCAAATAAGAATAATTAATGAAATTGAATGGAATATATATAAATATATATTTGAGACTTTTGAGTATTTTATGATTCTTCAAACACAGAAACAAAACAGCAAAAACTTGTTGGACACCATTGGAAGGAAAAGGCACAAAACCCTTATTTATAAACTTGACAATTTAGAGGAAAGAACAAAGCATATATCCTGCCTTTCTTGTACAAACTGTATCTTGAAATTACTAAAGAAAGACCTAGTTTAGAGGCGAAAAGTTTTACTTTTCAGAAGAATTCCAGTTAATAAATGGGGGAAGAATGAAAAATTGTTCGATCCTCATGAAATAAATGACTCAGGAACCATCACGAACAGATGAAACAGTGAGAGGCAAAGCTGTCGAGGACAACAGAGCAGCGCGGGCTCGCACCGTCTGAGTCCACGACCAGCCTTGGCACCGTCAGAGTGGGACGCTCTCATACTGTGCGCCCCGAAACAATACAAAATGAATCCTACAGCACCACATGAAGTGCTGTTGCCTCCCCTCAAACACACACATAAAAGTCAAAACAGATTCTAGTAAAGCTTCCAGAGCTAACAAGGAAAGAAAATGTCAGCTCCAGAATGTGGGAACTTTTATAGGAAAACTGACTCAGTTCCTGCAATGTCTCGCTGGGTGGGGGTCAAGCTGGTTTGGGAGGGGGTGGTAAACAGAGAGCAGCAGGCTGTCGATGAGAAGACTTCAGAAATATAACAACCAAATGCAATGGACCGTCTCCGTAGGCTGATTGGAGCAAATCATCAGTAAAAGACATTTTAAAGACATTTCAAAAAATTTTATTACAGCCTTGGTTATTAAGCGATGCCCAGGAATTATCATTAATTTTGTTAAGTGTGACAATGGCATTATGATTATACAAGAAATAGCCCACATGTTCTAGAGATGCATAGTGAAATATATAGGAAACATATGCAGAATGTCTGGGATTTGCTTTAAAATAATTACATGAAGGCAGGCAAAAAAGAGAAAAAGAAGAAGTAAATAAAGCAAATACAGCAGAATTTTGCTATTTGTTGAATCTCGGTAATGAGTCTAGAGGACTTTGATTACTCTCTTTGTCCCAAGTGCATTTGACATTTTCATTATAAAATATTTTAAATTCCACCTATTGTCAAAAAAATATAATCCTCCAACATGAAAGCAAACCACACAAAACAGAATATAAGATATAAACTTAATTAAAAACGTCCAATGTTCATAATAAAGAACTCAACAATTAAAAACAGTAATGAGATATTCTTTAATACCTATTAAATTTGCCTGAAATTATTGACTGAAGAAATCAGTGTTGGAAGAGATGGGAGGGACAGCTACTCTCATATGTTGCAGGTGGCATTGTAAATTAGAATGACCCTCTGGGCAATTTAGCGATAAATATTAAGAGCCATAAAGCTGTTCGTACCCTTTGACCCACTAATCCCACTCCTGGGAATTTCTCCTAAGGATATAATTCAGATGTAAGAAAAAGCTATATATACAAAGATGTTCTTGCTCCTATTATTTATAATAGAGAAAATGGAAATAACCTTAATGTCTAACACTAAAGGAATGGGTAATAAATTATGGAATATCAATTTGATGGAATATATTACACAACACTAAAAACAAATATATTGCAAAATGGAAAAGTATTTACAAAAAGCCTCAAGGGATTAAAAAAACAAAATTTTACAATAATGAAGATAAAAGCTGGAAGAGAAGTTAGATCAACTAAATCAGTCTGAGATTGGGATAGGATTATGGGCAAAAACAGAAAAAGTTCTTTTATTTAAATTTCCTTCAACTTTTGTAGGAAAAAATTTGAAAATCATCCTTATAATACTGTTGCTCCCTTTTCATTCCTTCCTATGGTGTTAAGGTTTTTAAAAGTTGACTTTTAAAATCTTTAAATGATAGACAAATGGGTACTGAAATTAACTAAAGTGTTAAAAGAAGGTCAGAGATAATATTTCATTAAATAACATAAAAAGTAACTTCACACACACATTTCACTGTCTCTGATGTAATCAGAGTAGTTTGTGAGTCAACAGGAGGAAGAGATGTGGGAAGGGTACCCTAATGAACAGCCAGAGGGGCACTTTTAATTTAAAAAAAGAAAGAAATACAAGGCAGAGATATCATCTGCAGAGAGCTGAGGGGAGGATCCTGGGAATTCTAAGAGGACAGAGCGCTGATTCTAAAGGGAAGAAGCACCTCATTCTTAGAGGCTGAGGGAAGGGCTTGGAGGTGCTGAAGCTTCTGACAACAAGGCTCACGTTTCTTAGCCACTGATGCTTCAGGGAGTGATTGTGCTATTGTGCTAAATGAATGCTGTGTGTGCAAACTTCCATTCAGCCTTGAGCATTTCTTACAGAAGCATCCTGTACAGTATATTCTGTGACCAGGGTTGGCTTGTTCAGATTAGAGAAAAAGGGATCGTAATCCTGGCAAGCAGTGCATGGTTGGTCCCTCATCCCACCAGGGGTGCCAACTTTGAATCCCAGCTTAGTCTCCCCTGGAGTCCGCCCCTGGGGCACATTCCATTCCTTCTCCCAAGTGAGAAGATAAGTTTCTAAAATAAGCTATCTCGCATGCCTCTGGGTTTGATAATGTCCTAGTAACATCTGACTCCCAAGTCTGGTTCTTTATCCACAATGGCTAAACCGCACATTTGTGGGGGAAATGGTATTATTTTTAACCCTCCACTTCAAAGAGTCTTGAAATATTGTCTCCTATAGTACCTAGCAAATACTAAACACTCAAAAAAAGAAGAAGAAGAAGAAGCTACTATTATGGTATTATTGGAATTTTTCCCTCCCTGTGAGCTTCTTGAGAGTAAAGACCTTGGAGATATATATATACACACACACACACACACACACACACACACACACACACACACTCAGGCAATGAATGAATTAATCAGCAAATCCATCCATCTATCTGAACAACTTATCCCTTAGACTTCAGCAGCAAAACTGTCT